CTTAAAATTCAAAATCTACATTTTAGTACCATTCCTAAAAATGGAATATCACTGTTGCATGCAGGTCTTTTTCACAGGTTTCATCTTAAAAATCCTTAAATTTATTTCTTCAACCCCCTAAATGTTACCACATATGTGGAGAGAGAGAGAGATAGAGACAGAGAGAGAGAGAACTGAGATATGTATGCATATATATATATAAAATTCATTTTTTTCCCAATAAACATCTAAAATGTGTATCTCAGTAGGAAGTTCACTTGCTTTCAGAATGAATATCGGCTGTTCCTAATACTACCTTAAGAGAGAAATAACACATTAAGAGATAATTTTGTGCTGTATTGAGTCATTCATAGTAGGAACTTCAATTCTTACTTGTTTATATCTTTTTAACCATTTCTGAAAGCAGCTTCTCAGAATGTCTAGTCAGATCAAAATGTCAATTAATGTTTAACACTGTTTGCATACTGCATTTCATGTGCAAATATGCATATTTGATTTTATGGGTGAGATTTTTCTTATTAACTTAAACACCTAAACTGAAACCTCTAAATTGTGAGAGTGTTGCAGTATCATTTTAGTATTGTTCAGTCAGGGGTCTTTTGCACTTGTTTTAAAGAGGAGGCAAAAACAACTTGAAGAACTAAAGTTTTGAAATGGCAAATGAATATAAGCTTTTTCAAACAGCTTTGAAGCACTAAAATGTGTGTATACTTAACTTAATGTTATAGCTCTGAACAGCTGCTATGCATTAGAGTAATTAATTAGTAATTAATTAGTAATATTTGGAGTTTTATGCTCTTGTAATTTTCAGTAGTCACAGATGGATAGAAACATCACACCAATCTGAAGAAATTGGTAAGGATGGATGACAGTAAGCCATAGCTTTTAATAAAATAAAAATGTATTTCAGTGTATTTTTAACAATACCAGTTCAAAAAACGTTGTGTTCTACCTGATCTGTATTCTGAGTTGTTTTATACTTATTTTTCTTTTTGGTTGCTGCTACAAGAACTACAGTACTATTTTTGAGAAAGATCATTGTTTAAATAAACATTTTATTCAAATTTGTACATATTATGTACTTAGACTGTAGCATGATTCAGCCACATTTTGTAGAATATTCTGCATCAGATGAGCGTAGTCTGTGTTGTCTCCTTCAGTTCTTAATGACTCCATCTTTGCTGTGGTTTTCAAAACTTCTGAACGTCTTTTTAGATAAAAGCTGCTGAAATTACTCTTGGGCACTTTTGTTACTGGTACTGCCAGTACTAGAAATACTCAAATAGTTTTTTGTGTACAGCAGACACTTTGTCTGAATGTGCAAAAGTATTCGTATTACATTTACATTTACACTTTTCTGTCTTCACTTTGACTAAAATCCTGTGACAAGCCAACTACTTTAAAAGTGAGGATGGAAGCTGATTCCTGTTTTATGGACTAGAACTGACATGCCTTTTCAAGAGCAATCAGCCTTCTCAGAGTCTTAAGACATTTTGAAAGATGGAAATAAAAACTAACTAGTATGCATTGAGCATTTTTGGCTTGATAATACAAAACTGAATTTTCAAATAAAATCAAGCTCTTTGGCTGAGGACAAATGAAGGGGTTGGATTCCATTGCATCATAATTGTTTTAGAGTTCAAGGTAAACCTATGAAGGTAGACAGTAACTGATCAGCATTAATATAGAAGGGTGTAGAATCCATACTGACTTCTTCCATTTTATATCCTCCTGAAATAGAGGGTTTTTGTTGTTGTTGCACTCATGAGGACTAGCAACAAGCTTTAAGTGTGTGACAGATTTTTTTTGTTTTCTGTTGTTTTTTTGTTTTGTATTCAAGTAAAGTGATGAAACCTGAATTGGCAGGAAGCTGAGCAGGACTTCTGTCAACTTCAAGAGTTTTCTGATGACACTAAAGTTCAAATATGTCGAACTTATCATTAATTGTGTTGAACTGTTATCATTAATTCATTTAGCAAACACAAGCATTAAAACATTGATAAATCTGCTTTTATCAGTTTTTTGCTTTAGTAATTGTTTAGGAAATCTGCACTTGGATGACACTGAAGTGAACTTCTTTCTGTTTTTAGCAATTCAATTATTGTTACTAATGTGTTTTCTGCTTAGAGGTTTTAATTTCTCTTTGAGGAATTCTCAAAGAGAAATTAAAACGCTTAAGCAACGTACTTGGTGGGGAGAGATATCCCTTGTTCCTACCCCTTGTAGTTCTTTATTATGAGAGTGGTAAGGTGCTGGAACAGGCTGCCCAGAGAGGTTGTGGATGCCCCATCACTGGAGGTGTTCAGGGCCAGGTTGGATGGGGCCCTGAGCAACCTGGTCCAGTATTAAATGGGGAGGTTGGTGGCCCTGCATGTGACAGGGGGGTTGGAGATGCATGATCCTTGAGGACCCTTCCAACCTGGGCCATTCTGCGATTCTGTGACTGTCAGTTTGAGCATGTCTGGTCCTCTTCATTTTCTCTCTTCTGATAAATGTCTGTTTTATGTGGAAAGCAAGTGAAAAACAGTGACTAGGGGAAAATGTTGGTTCAGGTTGGGGAGATAGCAGATGATAAACTTTTGACATTAGAAAATCAGACTTGGAAGTCTGTTAAGGTACATAAATTCTCAGTGCTCTTTGCTGATAAATGTATGGACAAGCCTGTGTTAGTTGTTTTGGCTTTGCCTGGATGACATGGGACTCTTTCACTAATTTCACTAATTTCTACAGGTGCTGGAGTGAGATTGGGGTCTTAGTACACAACAGGAAAGATAATTAGAATACTGTGAGGTGAATCAAAAGCATAAGGGCTCATATCCTGAACTGTGGCAATGAGGCATGGACTCATGTGAATGATCCAAATCGCTTATTACAGGTTCCCACATAACCTCTATACATTCACAAGATTCCTTTTGAGCTTTTCCATCTGCGATTACAACTTTCCCATCTGCCTTTACATGTCAACAAAGCACTGCACAAGCATTCCTTAGTCATGCATACAAGTGCTTATCCAGCCAGAGCCATGGGCTGTTCCTTTGGCTGTTCTCTTCTTCTAGAGCTGTCCTTGATTCTCAGCATTGCTTTCTTATGCTGTCTGTCTTGCTTCACAGCTGCTGCTCTAAATAGTCTTTCTTGTATTCTCACCATTCCCCCTTTTTTATTTATTAGCAAACTATTGCCACACTATAAATTAATAGCACTAATTATATTAATAACATACTAATCATAACTCAATCAAGGCCTTGATTGATAGCATACTAAACATAAGGAAAGAGTCACACAGAAGGTCATGATTTTTTTAGCTGATATGTGCACACTCACACAGGCAATCTTAGACAATTCCATGAGTGGGAAATGGAAGCTCCCTAAGCTAATGTGCTATTACTTATTAACTCCTGAGAGACAGCAAACCACTGGAAAGGAGAGAGAAGGAACATGCCAGCCTTGGATGTGATAGGCAGTGCCAGCAGAGCATCTTCTGCTTCAAAGTGCACTTTTCCTCTCACCCACAACAGACTCTCTCCTGCTTTTATTCTTCTCAGGGTCTGCATAGTTTTTTCCATTTGTACTGCACATCCCTGTGACCAGTGTGTGATGCAGAGCCCAAGCAGAACAGAACACCTGCTCAAAGAACAAACTACTAGCTCTCTACAAACAAACATGTGCAGAAAATATTCACAGTCACAGCTGCTTATTCCCATGATTTCTTGCTGACCAAAGTGAGAATGTTGCCATCCGTGCTCATCGACATATTGCTAACTGTATCCACGTTGCCCAAGTTGTCATTAACTTGAACAAGCTTTGTTAATCATAACTCTTACACAGGATATAATGCAGGAATACAGATAAAAGGCACACAAAAAATGACACATTAGTCCTAACTTAATTAGTTTCTGAATCCAAGGGCCCAGATATTGAAACCACACATGGAATCACCCCCATGAATTTCCTATGCGTAATTTCTGCACACCTTCCTGCAGTTGCTGAATACTCTCATGGAGGGAGGTGGAAAGATCTGTTAAGTTCATGCAGCACAGTTCTTCAGTGTCTTCACAGCCATGTCTTTGTGTGAGAAGCAGGAATTCAATAGCAGCTCTGCAATGTGCTGTGACAAATTGAGTCGACATCCTGTAACAGGCCTGAAAGTGCTTGCAAGGTTGCACTAGTCTGTTTGCTAAGCCAACATCCTTGCTTATTTAAACTAACTAATGCTTTAGCAACTGCTACCCCTGGAGTGAAGAGTGATGCAAACATAATTGATTCCCAGTTCCAAAATTTAATCTTCTCTTTACAATCAAAAGCATGAATATTTCTTCAGATTCTACCATGATTTTGGTGTTTTGTAAGGATCGTAGTCAGATTCATCGTTAGTAAGGTCAACCTGCCCAAGGAGCAGGGGCCTCCTTTAATATATGATGGAATGGTTGACCATGTGCAATTTGCACATATTAAAAATACTCCTCAAGGTAACTGAAGGTGTAAATTACTAGATATTGAAATATTTGAAGATGTGTAATTACACAAGGGTGATGCATTTCTGTGCACCAGCATTGTAGCACTGACTGACCATGAAAGAGATTGATTGTTATAATAATTGAAAAATACACATCGATCCCTTTTTACTGATCTCAAAAGTTCTAGCTCCTATGGGGCTAGTGACATTGGGAGCAAGTGAGGAACCCACCGATCCAGTTCCCTCCCCAGACCTTCTTTTCCTGCACAACTGAGGAAGCACTAGTGGCGTGAGCCAGTTGTTCCCATTTCCCTTGATCAAGGGGAAGTTATACCAGGCACACAGTAATGGGGAGTCAGGGGATAAATGATATTGATAAGCAGAGAGTGTTCTATCCAGTGTTGCTGCCAAGCATAACCCACACATTAGTCTTAGCTGTGAAGGTACCCATACAGCAGTCACGATTGTGCAGCAGATGAAGGTGATGCCAACAAATGGGGTTGCACTGCCCTTCCTGGAATCCATCACAATCCTGCACCTATAGAAATAAAAACATAACCTCTCCCCCAAGTTATCAGTGGGAACTGATTCTTTCACATTTCACATTGACCTGATTCCAGATTCTTTACTACTTTACAGTAGCTTTTCCATGAATATTCATTCTTTCCTTGTTTACTGAAACAAAATGATGGGCTATCAGTGGTCCTCCATCATCACACCATTGATTTAAAAAGTCCAATACATATATAGCTTTAGCAAGACTTTCTGCTGGAAGTGCCTTCTCCATTCCCTCTTTTTGCTTAAGTAGCATAGCCTTAAGGGTGCTGTGGGTACACTCAACTATGGCTTGTCCTGTAGGTAGGTGAGTGTGATGTCACCCAGTGAGATGTTTAATTCCCCACGATTGTAGAAACTGTAATACTTTCTGAGATACATCTCCCAGACCATTTTCTGTCTTAATAGTTTTTGGTACCCCAAGAATTGCAAAGGCCAAAAGAAAATGTTTGCAGATGTTGCAGGCCTTTTCCCCAGTATCTGCTGCCACTGCGATGGCTCTGGAAAAGGTATCCACGGAGACGTGGACATATTTAAGTCTTCTGAATTCAGGGATGTGTGTGACCTCTGTCTGCCATAATTCCAGAGCTGTTAGACCTTGGAGATTAACCCCGTGCAATAGAGGAGTTGTCATCTGTTGGCAATCAGGGCATACTGTAATTATCTGTCATGCCTGAGCCAAGCTAAGGCCATAAGACTTTTGCAGCGCCTTAGCATCTGGTGAAAAAAAGGCAGGTGACAGTCAAGCCTGTTCAAATGAACCTAGGAAGAACAGGAATACCAGCTAACTGATCCGCTTATTTATTTCCTTCTGTTAAAGGTCCTGGCAAAATGGTATGTGATTGGATGTGTGTTATAAAATATGGTTCCCGTGGTGAGACACAAAGACAATACAGCAGCATGAACAGTTGTTAGTTAGAAATGTCTCTTAGATATGATCGTTCTATTCTTGTCAGTCAGCCTTAACATACGCTGAATCAGTGACGATGTTAATTAGACTGGACCATTTTTGAAATACTCTTACAACTGCAGGTAATTCTACAATTTATGGAGAGCCTTTTATTGTCTAAATACAATTACCGACTGACCTGTTCTCCCTGACCCATCTTTGAATACAGTCAAGGTGCCTAAGGATACCAAGGAACATTTTGGCTCTCCTGAAAATCTGGATTCAGTACCATTAAGTGGAAGGGTAGAGCAGGGTCATATCGCTGAGCTTGTCACTGCGACATAGTTGAGGCAACCTGCAAAGCTTGCTGCACTACAGGTGTCAGTGATCTTTTGGAATTTAAAGCTAGATTCCCCTTTAATAACAGGAAATAATGGGAAAAGGGTTTTATTAGATATTCCCAGCAAAGGCTTGATCCAATTTATAGTCCCTAACAGCCTTTGCATATCATTTAGAGTTCGAATGTCCAAATCCAGTTTAAGGCATTGGAGCAATAGTCTGAATTTGTAATTCACCATCCCAAATACTTCCATGGTGAACTCTTCTGGACCCTTTCTGGAGCTACCTCTAAATCACAGCTTCTTATGCTGTCAATGACTACAGCCATGGCATATCACATTTCTTCTGTCGACTTGGTTGCCACAAGAATGTCATCCATGTAATGATAAAAAACAGCATTAAACAGTTTTTGCCCCTCAGGGGTTAAGGCTCTGGTAACAAACCATTGAGAGATCACGGCGCTGTTTTTCATGTCATGAGGTAATACCATCCAATGATAGCACTTGGTTGGTGCTGACACATTTACAGAAATGACATAAAAAGCAAGCTGAAGAGCATCACTGGGATCCAGGGGGATGTTGAAAAAGCAGTCTTTTAAGTCAGTAGTGAGCCAGGCGCCATGATCAATCACAGCCTCATCAGAGCCTGTGTCCAAAATCCCTGAAATATCAAATCTTTGTGGGAGGTTGCCTGATTCCAGCGTAAAGGTTAAGGTAGTTTGAGCATCTGAGACCTTTTGGGTCCATAATATCTGAGGGCCCCCTGTAGAACCAAACCCTGTAGCCCCCCTGTCCACATCTGAAGTAAATCAGTTGAGCAATACAAGCATGTACTGGTACTTCACATGGGAGCATGGGTGCCCGGACCATAACTTTAATCTCTCCAGTATAATCAGTATCTGTAAAGCCAGATAAAACAAAAAGATCTTGCACTGGGGCTGACGAATGCCCTAAAAGCAAAACGCTGTCCATTTCCCAAAGGACCAGTTACCCCAGTAGGCACTGCTCGCACTACCTTGGAATCAGGGTTACTGGTTTGGAGGTGGCCGGGTCCACTCCCGTGCTGCTACGGGTCCTGGCGTATAAATGGGGGATGTTGGAATCAGTTGGGATGTTGGAATCAGTTGTGATGTTGATGTCTGCGTTGGGGCTCCTTGTGTCATCACGCACCTCCACCGTGCGCTCTGACGCCCGTTTCCCTGCACGGATTGCCCATCCTTTACAGTACGTTGAACAGACTCCCAGTACCGGGGGCCTCTTTATTAGGAAATTTCTGGGCTTAAGTGACCTGAAGCAGACTCGTGAATTCAATTTCATGACTGCGTCGCGGCGAGCACTGGGGGGGGAGCGGTGGGCAGCCATGGGGCAGCGACAATCCAGAGCGGACCGCGGCCGCGGGGCTGCCGGCGCCTACCAGCAGCGGCGGCGGCGCCGCTCTCCGGGGGCCGCCATTTTCCTTCTCCCCGGCCGGAGGAGGGATTGAAGTCGCGAATGGGATCCGACCGGAGCTGCTTCCCGCACCGAGAGGCGGCGGCGGGGTGGCGAGGAGTGCGAGGGGAATGGTCGGAAGAATTTGCCCTTCCTCGTCGAATTTTTGTGAGCGTTTCCGATATTTTGCGCCAAACAGGTAAAAGTTTAGCAGCTGTTTTGTCAGCAGGAGAGGGATCGGGTTCTTTCTCCAGGTTCCTGGGCCCGCGATCCAGAGGATTGTCTGAGCCATCCCGCCGATTGTTTAAGGTCGCTGAAGATGGAGGCGCCGCAGATTGTACCGATGCTGCCGAGCCAGTATGTTTCTCTAGAGTCTCAAAAACAGTTCTCCACGGCCCTGAAAGCCTTTGCACTACAGTATCCGAGCAAGTAGCTGCGTCCCGGAGTCTTAAGCCAATTCTGTCCCAAACTGCTCCATCAAAAGAAAACGCAGCTTTCTGAAACTCAGGGACATTTTTGCTTACCCATTTAAGAAAAGCAGCTAATGCTGAGGTAGATACAGTTCGATTCTGAAATTTTAAAGTTCTCCATAATACTTCGGGATTCACTCTTTGCTCCTTCATTACTGAGCTCCCCATAGTTCCCCAAGTCCACTCCAGTATTAAAAAGGGGTGACTCAGAGTACCATCCCACTTCACACGATGCTTCTGCAGAACACCCTCCATCAGCTGGTAAACTGCTTTACGTTCCTTGGACATTTCCCCATCCATAGTTCCCCACTGCTAGCTGCTGCTTCCTCAGAGATGACATTGCCATACGGTCAGTAGTGCTTCCTTTCAGCAGACTGAAGTTGAGTGGGGCTTGCCAGCAGTCAGCCAAATAAGACCATTCAAGTCCCTGATATGGGGTGCCATTTGTGGCAATCAGGCATGGACTCAGATGTGAATGATCCAAATTGTTTATTACAGGTTCTCACATAACTTCTATACATTTACAAGATTCCTTTTTGAGCTTTCCCATCTGCCCTTACAACTTTCCTATCTGCCTTTGCATGTGAACAAAGTATTTCACAATGCCTTGCATACAGGTGCTTACCCAATCAGACCATTGGCTGTTCCTTTTGCTCTTCTCTTCTTCTAGAGATATCCTCAGTTTTTGGTGTTGCTTTCTCATGCTGTTTATCTTGCTTCACAGCCACTGCTCTGAATAGTTTTTCTTATATTCCCACACTGAACTTAAGTATTCTATATTGAAAACAAAGATCTATGTTCTTAATTTTAATTCAGATAATTTATTTATTTCAACCTGCCACCTATTTGGGCAGAGTTTTAATTAAGTGGAAGCATCAGGATGGTAAGTGGTGACTTAATAACATACATACTCATTCTTTGTAAGATTATACACTAGTTGAGAAAGAATGCATTTTAACTATAAGAAGGTGCCATTGAATGAAATTGTTCTGATGAAAATTATTTGCAGTATAGAGGGATTGAGAGTTTATATTTGGAAAGTATTTTTGCTTAAGAAAATGTCTTTTTTTTTTTTTTAAACCGAGTCATCTGTTGTCCATGCATATTTAAAAATAGTTGATTGTTATTTGCATGAGTTCATTTTTTAATACAAAAATCGACAGATGACTTTTCTGTTTTTTATACTAATTGTTATTTTTGGGTTGGTGGTAAAATGCGTAAGGAAAGTATTAAGAAAAAAGTATGGCTGAATAACTTTGATTTTTTTTTTTTCACTTTTGAAATACAATCCCAGTCAGTGCACAGAATGGTGTACTGTCTCCGTTCTGTCACTCCATCTGGAATTTATTATTTTAAACAGTGTTGTGGAGTGTTGGCATTCTGTGATCTATGTTGCTACTGCAAAAGTGTCTCACATCTTGAGATGACTTAAAAATTGTACATGAGCTGGAAATGCTGCTTAAATTGAGGAAATACTTACAACTAACACAAAGTATTAGTGCATTATACTGTTTCAGTATTCCAATAAAAGGAAGTGTCTGGATAATGTTTCTTGTATTTTTATGTTCTTTGTCAGTTTTCATGCTAATAAGATAATGGATTTAGGCTGTCTTGCTGTTGATGGATTGTTCAGATGTTCATTTCCTGTTGTGTGTGTGTTAGGTCATTCCAAAGTAAGTGTAATAAAACTTACATTCTCAATAAATCAGATGAGTTGCAAATTACTAGAAGGTGGAAATATCAATCAGGGAAGGACTGCTCTATTCACAACTGGTTTCTAGTACTTAGATAGTAGGTACTAAAAGAAAATAGACACTGGGCCAGATACAGTTTTGCAGTGACTTGATCTGGAATTTCTGATATATCAGCAAACCCCTAAATCCTGGTAAATATGCCCAGCTCTGAAAGACCCTTACAGAATAAAATACTATAATTTTGAGTGTTTTATATGGATATATGTGCTTGGATTATATGGATAATATTTGTCTATTTAACCTGTTCTTTGAATACTTGTGGAGTAACTCGTGCCTTTGAATACTTGTGAAGTAACCAACATGCATTTTCCAACAGAGGAGTCAGTGTTGACAAGAGTAAGTATTGGATTCAGAGCTAAAATATTAAGTGGAATTGGAAATATAGTTAACCAGGGATTTATGTGTTTGATGCAAAGCAAAAATAAGAACGTGGATGCACTTAAGATATGGGAGCGTAGAATACTTAAGATATGTAAACTAAACTTTTCAAGAGATCTACATGTAATAGATGGAATTGCTATTTTTATCTCTTGGACTAAAAACTTTTAAACGTGTTTGCTTTATGTTTGTATACATACTTGTTTGTGTGAATGTCTTATACTGAACAAGTTTCTAGTACCAGTGTAATATAACTGCTGTTTCTGATATATAAACAAGTTGAAGATACTAAGAATCTTAACCAACATTTAGGAGTAGTGCCACACCAGAATTGACTTCACTTAACAATATTCTAGCTGGAACAACCAAGCGAGGCTCTGAAATATTGACTAACTCTGCCAGGAAATGGCAATCATTCTTGACACTTGCAGAGTTCAGAATTTCTATGGGAATAAGCATGTTTATGATATTGAAGAATATCTCAGTAGACATTGGGGTGGGATACAAAAGAAAGAATTGAAATTCAGTGCATTACTGTTAGTACAAGTGAGATGGATGCTAAAAAGAAAATAAGGTGAAGTAATACCAGCATTTTGTACTAGTCTTAAGAAGCTGTTTTGACTTTCTGTAATCATTTTTCAGTGGCTTGGATTTTTTCTTTCACATAATACAGTAATGAAATGGCTGTTTGGTACAGTTAATTGCTCTAAGAATGAATCTTATTTTTGTTTCAGCTTTATTCAGGATAATACTTTAATAACATAGCTTTAGATTACATTTATTTTGAGTGAGTTTTGCATGGTGTAAATGGTGAGTATGAAGTTTAGTTACAGAATATATATAGACTGTGATATGCCATATTAGAATTACTTGCAAATAGTAACCAGTGCTTGCAATAATACATTTACTGAGTGATTATGTATAAAATAAGAAATTAAGCCAATACTTAGTCATAAGTGCTTAGTTCTGAGATGTATATGTTTTCAAACTTTGTAAATAAGTGAATTTTACAGACTTTGTTTACACCTAAATTGCTGTCTTGACAGTAAGAATTTTAAAATGTTTAAGGTCTGAACTTTTTAATAAATACTGTTTCTCAATTGCTCCATCATTTCACGCATCTTTGTTTTCTAGCCATCTTCCTGATCTCTCATTTTCCAGGATAGCCATAAAAAATAAATGCAGTTAGTTGTTTAAGTAATTTTTAAGCATTTTGTTGCAGTAGACCTTGTTTTAGGGATTATGTTCACATTTTCTGAAGATAGAGATGTGCTGTTATATTCTGACTCATGGAAGGCAAGGAATGCACAGAGCTGCTTTAAATTGGGGCTTTAATCTGATTGTCTTTAAAAATAAATTGCATATATTAGTTGATATTTTTAGTGAAAATATAATCAGTCAATCTGTTCCTGGAGTACTACGTCTGGATATGGAGCCCTGAGTACAGGAGAGATGTGTACCTATTAAGTGCATCCATAGGAAGGCCACAAGAATGATCCAAGGGATGGAACACCTCTTCTATGAGGACAGGCTGAAAAAGCTGGGGCTGTTCAGCCTGGAGAAGAGAAGGTTCCAGGAGGACATGATAGTGGCCTTCCAATATCTAAAGGGAAACTGTGAGAAAGAAGGGGGCACACTCTTTGGTAGGATCTGTGGTGACAGGATGGAGATAAATGTTTCAAAATAAAAGAGGGGAGATTTAGTTGGGATATAAGGAAGAAATTTTTTAAAGCGATGAGGCATTAGAACAGGTTCCCCAAAGAGGTGGTGGATGCTGTGTCCTTGAAGACATTCAAGGTCAGACTGGTCCTGGCTCTGAACAAACTGATCTAGCAGATAGTGGATATCCCTGTTCATTGACGAGACTAGGTGACCTTTAAGAATCCCTTTCAACTCAAATGATTCTGTGAATTGGACAGCTATTCTATTTGGATAGAGCTGGTGACTGCTGTGCAAATTACAGTGTACATATACCTTGAGGCTTAAAGTACAAGTTGAAATCTGTTAAACCACACAGTGACTCAAATATTGGTGGTCATTTTTAAGTACAGAAGGTCTGTTCTGTCACCTTAGTAAGTTGTTTTTTTCTTTTGAAACCACAGAATTAAGTAGGGGTAAGACACCACAGCTACAGTATCAGGTATGTTGGAGATAGAAGTTCAAAATGGAAACATTTTTTGAATGTTGTAAGCTGAAGAGAGAAAGATAAGGATGTTCTTGATATTTGAACAGTAGTAAATGAAGTATAAAGTGCTCATTAAGTGCTTGTTAAGAGTAATAAGAATACAGTGCTACAATTGGAGCTGTAGTAGAAAAAAATGAACAGGAGAACCTTAGCTATCATTAGTAATGTTACTGGAACTATGTTTCTGAAGTTAATTATCACCAGAATGTTGCCCATCCATTGGCTGTCCATCCAAGTCTAGGGAGTGACTACACATGGGAGAATGGTGAGCTTGATTCTGGATACTAGTAACTGTTGCATATCACAAGTTATTTATGTTCATAAGAAAAGAATCCTTAATGTGATGATGGTGGCTGCCTTTACAGCAAAATTAGGTGCAACTGGGAAATCTTACAGAAACAATAAATTGAAGAATTTACATATACCCTTTGCAACCTGGAGACAGAGTACAATGTCTGAGGTAAGTTAGTCTGTATCCACACATCTTTCTGTGAGTACATTTGCTATGCTGGACTAAGGAAACTGTTGAAAATAGGTAGATTAAAAAACAAACAAACAAAACTATAAACAATTTTGAGCAGAGATAAGAGTTTTTATTAAATGGCAAGATTTGAACAACTCTGTGCCTGTTTCAACCCTTAGGATTAAATAAAAAGAAGTGCATGTATAGTATATAGTGTTTAAGCCACTGTGCAAGCATTTGGGGTGGGGAAAAAGAAAGGTGTAGAAAGCTAAACTGTGATTGAAGGAGTTGTCACAGACAAAAAAATGACAGCACAGTTTGCCTTTGGGGTAGTTAATTATGGAAATGTTGGTAGTCATTGTGCAAGTTTTATGCTGCCTAAATTGAGAATCTTACTCAGTGATTGAAGGGGCTGACACAGCTCATTCTGAGCCTCAGATGTCTTAAGTTGCTGGTATACACGCTGGTGTATGTTTTTGTCATTCCTCCTGGCAGCAGTGATGGATCTGAGGAGACAAGCTGAGGAGAATTTCACTCCGGAAACAGGCTGTGTTGTAGTTTCTTTGTCTCTATTCAAATAGAACATAGCCTAAGAACCCACTGATTCTTCATTCTTTGCAGACATCGCAATATTGCTTTTACCAGGCACTAATAGTAAAGAGAAGTTTGAAACATCTGCATTACAGGAGACACTGAAACAGCAACTTTTAGACCATTGGGTAACTCCGTATGCTCGCTCATATGTTTACCAAAAGAGTCTGGAAGTGAAAGGGATTCGGATTTTCTCTGAAGATTCAGATGTGTGTTCATTATTCAAGTTACTATTTTTGTGAAAGTATCTGCTGCCTTGACATTATGAAATAATTGCTGACATTCTTGCAAGAGCAAGCTAGTTTTCTCAGACAATTGCATTGGAACATCAGGCAGTGTTTCACAGCAGTTTCAGAACATTCAGTATGACATTCACACTACTTACGGTTCTCTTCGTATCTATCTTTGTAAAAATGTTTTCAGTATGGGAGATTTTCAAGACCTATATGATGCTGGGGGATGCTCATGGGCTGTACACAGAATACGCATGGAAAAAAGGCTGCATGAAGTCACACAAAGTACTTAAACTAACAAGCAAATGACTTGTTTTCTTGACTATTGACTAATTATGTTGATGATGTTTCTCTTTTAGAGGCACTAAGATGTCTAGGCTATATGCTTGGTGGTTAGCGTAAATATAATGGTGTGGTGAGCTATAGTTAATCATGTTGATGGAGCAGATCATCTTGGGTGAGATCACACAGCATGTGTGTGGCATCCAGGGGATCAGGCCCAGCCAGCACGGGTTCATGAAAGGCAGGTCATGCTTGACCAACCTCATCTCCTTCTATGACTGGGTGACCAGACTGGTAGATGAGGGAAAGGCTGTTGATGTAGTCTACCTAGACTTCAGCAAAGCCTTTGACATGGTCTCTCACATTATTCTCCTGGGGAAACTGGCTGCCCATGGCCTGGACAGGTATACCCTTCTTTGGTACAGGAACTGGCTAGAGTGCCCAAAGGGTAGTGGTTAATGAAGTTAAGTCCAGCTGGTGACCCGTTACAAGTGGTGTCCTCCAGGGGTCAGTACTGAGGCCCATTTTGTTTAATATCTTTACTGATAACCTAGATGAGGGGATTGGGTGTACAAACTGAGTAAGTTGCAGATGACACCGAGTTGGGAGGTAGTGTCGATCTGCCTGAAGGTAGGGAGGCCCTTCAGAGGGATTTAGATCAGCTGGATCGCTGGGCTGAGGGGAATGGGATGAGGTTCAACAAGGCCAAGTGCCGGGTCCTGCACTTTGGCCACAACAACCCCATGCAGCGCTATAGGCTTGGGGCAGAGTGGCTGGATGATTGGGAAGAGGAAAGGGACCTGGGGGTGTTGGTTGATGCTCAGCTGAACATGAGCTAACAGTGTGCCCAGGTGGCCATGAGGGCCAGCACCATCCTGGCCTGCTTTAGAAATAGTGTGGCCAGCAGGAGCAGGGAGGTGATCATCCCCCTGTACTCAACACTGGTGAGGCTGCACCTCGAGTACTGTGTTCAGTTTTGGGCCCCTCACTACAAGAAAGACATTGAGGCCCTGGAACGTGTCCACAGAAGGGCAACAAACTTTTGGGGGGTCTGGAGCACAAATCTTATGAGGAGCGGCTGAGGGAGCTGGGATTGTTCAGTCTGGAGAACAGGAGGCTCAGAGGAGACCTCATTGCACTTTACAACTTCCTGAAGGGAGGTTGTGGTGAAGAGGGGTTTGGCCTCTTCTCCCAGGCAACAAACAGGACCCGAGGAAAGTACTGAAAGTAAGTACTTGAAATTTCTCAACAACTGAGAGGAAACTTATGTTACTACACTGATGTAATATTTATTGCCCATCTCATAGTAGACAAAATGGGGAAAAGTGCAGCAGATAGAATATTTCTTGTGTTAGAGAAAAATCTTTCACTTCTTCTGGTAAGTAAAAATTTGAAAAAAAAAAAAAAAAAGTGTATGTGAGATGGAAAATACACTCTTATTTGTTTCTTAACAATATGAAAAGGTTTTTTTCTAACACCAGTAAAAATATATAATACATATGCCCCTATACAAAAACATGTTTAATATTAAGGAATATTGAGTTAGAACTCCACCTAAGCAACTGGTTTATGGCTATTTATATATGTCTTCAGAAAGTAATTTGTTAATATACATAGTACATAAATGGATGTGAATTATTATGCAGAAACATTCTTAAAGTACTCATACCTAGTACATACTGAATAAGGAACAAATAATCTCACATTTTTAGTAGCTGAAATTTCTGATTACAGAACTCAACCTGATGTAGGTACTTGTGTTCACCGGAGAATTTTCAGTAAGTGACTGCAGCATTCTGTCAGTTCAACCATAAAGAGAAAGGGGAACTTAAAGGCAGTGAAGAGATTACATGTTTTCTTTAAATTTATGTACCTAAAATTGTAGGGTTTATGTTAAATTTTGAAAATAAACCAGTATCTTTAACATTTGCTTTTTAATTTGTGCTAAAGCTTATATTATAAATGCCAGTGTTTCCATTACCATGGGGAAATCCTTGGTATAAGGGAGTGTTTTGAAATTTAGAGTTGTTGAATTTACTGCTTTTTTTATGTATGGACATACGAAATTCAGTAATGAAAAATATTTTATATTTTGAGTGTTGTTAACTTTAAGATTTAAATCCTGGACCACTGTTTCTGTCTGGCATAGGAATGCTTTTCTCCTGAGTTTGTGAAGAGTAACAGGATGTTTTACAGTGAAGTGGCATGAAACAAAGGTAACTTCCATGGGTGTTAATTAACATTATGCTTCTTTGCATCATTAGTAGTGTAAGGTTTCTGGCGTCAGTACTGCTGTGGAGAGCAACTAAATCATGATATATCTCAGGCAAGTTTGGTACACTGTGTAAGCATAAAACTGTAAGAGTGTGTAGAATCATAAAATTAGGGTTTCACTGATTTCATGCACTTACTGCTGCTGCTATGTTCTTCATAAAGAGAGCAAACTGGTGACATCATCGTGTGTCACCATTTGTTGTAATTTGTCTGTACACCTTTTTAGCCAAATACACTGTGTATAACACTTATTCTTGTAGGAATTTTAACTTTTTTTTGGTGGGTATTCTCATCTTAATTCAGAAACTGTAGCTGACATCATTGTATTGAGTAATAATGGTGCTCTTTACCATCTGAATGCAAATGTGTATAATTTGGATCGGAATGTGTAAACCTCCTTGACCTACTGACCAGTGCTGAATCTAAAGGTCTGTTTAGGAAACTTGTTTCCTTCCCCTTGGGTTTTGGCCTGTTGCTATTACTTATTAGTCAAAGTCAGTATATCTTTTTGATCAAATTAGCAAACCTAGATTT